ATCTAATTAATTTATTTCCCTACTCCATCCTCCAGCTGCTAAACCTCTTCCTGGCATTATTATTGAGTTCTTTCAGTTCAGACAGCCTTGCTGCTCCAGAGCAGGAAACTGAAGCAAATAATCTACAGATTGCTATATCAAGAATTCAGAGGGGAATAAATTACGTAAAGAGGAAGATGTGTGAATTTGTGCAAATTGTTTTTTTGCAAAGATGCAAGGACACTTCTGGATTAAGTGCAGCTGATCAACAAAATGATAAGAAAGATCAGTGCATTCCCAACCATACCATAGTGGAGATCAACCAAACTTTTGGTTATCAGAGGCCTAGAATAATGGCTACCAGCTGCATGGACAACAGTGATCACATGTCATTCATAAATAACCCAAATCTTACTGTGACTGTACCAATAGCAGTGGGAGAGTCTGATTTTGAACATTTCAACACAGAGGAACTTACCAGCATATCTGAACTTGAAGAAACCAAAGAAGTAAGACATTATTTTATACAGTAATACTGTTTTATATGCTTGAGTTATTTTTCTGTATATATCATAGTGCCATTAGCTTTCTATGACTTAAATCTTTTAAAGGTATTCTTAATTTTTCAATAAAATAAAATCTCTTTTTATTGGACTAATTGGGAGAGGAGCTGTTCATTCATGCATGGCCAATAGAATTGAAAAGCAGAGCATTGCAGCAGTTTACTTCATTTGTATCATTTGTTTAATGATACAATTACACAAATGACATAAATAACTGAAGAAATTTGGTCTACTCGATATGAAGTCTGTTGTGTTAAAATCTGGTAAGTTGGGATTTCTTTGAAATTACTGTTTTTAATCTACATATTAGTATTGACTTGTGACCATTAAACAGTGACAACCTAATTATCTTTTCACCATGTAATACAATACTATGTATGGTATGTGTCCTTTCATTCACAGAATGGCACCTAACATGTATCTGTATATTGTTGAGTGCAGAGATGTCCTAAAATTTAACATATTTACAAAGAGTTGAGTGGAATACAGATTTCACATAGTCTGAAAGTTAGGGAGGAGATGCTGTGTGGAGCAAGACACACACCATGCCAAAAATTGAAGAATTCTGTCAACATGCTGTTCTTGAATGCCGTCTACAAACTTCAAATCAATGGCTGAGTTAGGTTCATTAAGGTGACTCATTTTAGTAGGTTCAAGATGTCCCCCTAAAAAAAAAGGGACACCTGACAGGACCCAAAAATAAAACTCATATGAAGCACAGTCACTCACACCTCTAATGGTACTTGGCTTAGAAGATTACTTTTAGTTCAGAAATGATATTTTGGTAAGGCAAGTGATTCTTCCAGGATGATTCAAGACAATCTGAAACCATCTATGTGTTCAAAAGATTTATCACTAGTATGAAATCAAAATATATTGCAGTTAAATCATTAAAAAGTCATATACATTTTTAATAGGCAAAAAGTATATGTGGAAAAGATGATGGCTTTGTATAATCTAGGAAAACCACTTTATCGGAAGTCTGTGGTGACTTCTCATAATTAATTTTCATAGAAACCTCAGTAACTTTTACAGTTATTTTTTCAGCCCAAATATCTAGGAGATATATCTTTAACAAAATGCTGAAATGAGCTATGTCTTGACTTAAGAAATGTATGGATATAAAATTATGTTGTGTTTGAAGTAGGAACTACCATGTTTCCCCGAAAATAAGCCCAGGTCTTATATTTATTTTAGGCCCAAAAGACCCATTAGGGCTTATTTTGGGGGGGGGTCGTATTTTTTTCTATGGCCTACATGTGGGATGAGCCTCCTGTGATGGCCAACCTGACCCTAGGCAAGCCAGATTTACAGGGAGAGGCAGCATGTTGCAGGAGGACGACTGCAAAGGACGCATGCGGATCCCTGCAGCTCCTGGAGGCTCTGAGCACTGCTTTTTGTGCCATTCGGTTTCCCACCCCAGCCAGGCTGATCTGGTGGGCAGGATTGCCTTCCATCTTCCCTGCCGCTGCATTGGCAGCTAATGCTGCCCTCCCGAGAGATGGCGTGGCGATTGGACAGCGGCCATGCTGCGAATGGGGATAGACCATCCCCCAAAGCGCCACCGAAAACAGTGAGGCAAACACACACACAGATGCGACACCAAAAACAGCATTGCAAAAAGCAGTGCTCGGAGCCTCCAGGAGCTGCAGGGATCCGCGCATGCCCTTCTGAGGATAGTGTTAATCGAAGTAACACTAATTACAATAATAATCAGGTAATAATACCATCATCATCATTTTAGCTGTTGTCTAATAGTTTATCTATTTAGATTTATATTCCTTCAGAAACTCAACTGATCTACCTAGATACCCTTTCTCCCTTACAATAGGGATAGGGACTAATTATATGTCACCCTGTGAGCTTCCATGGTTAAGGATGGATTTGAACTTGAATCTCCCCAAACTTAATTCCAAATCTTAACAATTAGATAATGGGACTAGGATTCTGCCCTAGTTCAGGAAGGTGGGCAGCTAATAAATTATTCAAGTAAATAAATAAATATCAGGTGTCTTTTTCTCTATAAGTAGACCTGCCTCATTCTCCAAGAATTGAGCATGGAATGTTATTATTCACCTTCACTTCTCTATTTGTGCATATAAATTGTATCCTGTCCCCCAAGTAGAGAAGCATCTTCATTGTTTATAAGCTGTTGGCAAACACTGAATGCTGTAAGAGATGAGGCTAGTGAGGGTGGGAGCCAAAAACGGCATTCCCTTTTTCTCCCTCTTTCTGCCAACTCCTTTCTCTTTATCTAACCATCTAATAAGCTGCTAAGGGAGAGCCACTTTACTCTTGCCAAAAGTCTGTTAACAAACAGTATTTATTTTCAAAGTAATTCAAGTGCCACTTGATGTTCTAGTACCGTACATTGTCTTCTCCTGCTGAACCACTTTCAGTCACAAAAGGAACTTGATACCAACATGATTATGGGAGGAAGGGACAGAGAATAAGGTGTACAAGAGAACAGCGGATTAACAATTTAATTTATTTTTACCCCAAGTTCAGAAGCTTTGGACAAACATAGACAAACTTTACTTAGACTTTATTAGATTAATGGGAACAATTCAGCTTCAGATCAAATTTTATTCACATTATTGCTTTTTCTTATTGTAATTAAGATTGGCTGCAATTTAGGTAGTGAATATAATATTTGTATAATATAAAGTTCAATATCCAATTTCAGAGATGCACAGGAAAAGAAGGGAGGTGAAGGTCGCTGTGACTTATTCTACATGCCTAATATAATGAACATATTTTATTTATGTATTCATTTCCTGCTTTTATTATTTTGATAACTCAAGGCAACTAACATACCTAACACTTCCTTCTCCTATTTCCCCCAGTTCTGTTTATTAAGCAGTTAATGTCCCACGGTGTCCGTATGAGTTTGCTGGAGTATCCCAATGTTGCATAGCTGATTTTCTTTTTTTTTCTTAATCCTACAACAGTTTTTCAAAAGGAAAATTTCTGCCCTGTAGAAAAGTGTAATGCACAGATTCATCTATTTGGAATCATTTTGTTCTCGTCTAATAGATGTTTTTTCTGGGATTGCTCTGTGGAGGTTTCCATAGCAGCCAGTATTCCTTTTGGTTGATAACTTTATTGAAGTCTTTAATAAACATAGTAAAACTTTTTTTAATATTTAAGTTTTGCAAACCACATGAAAGTTGACACAAGCTAATAAAATTCAGAAAAAGTAAAGAAGAAAAGCCAAAGTGCAGAAAGAAAGAATTAAATAATAGAATCTTCCAATTACTTTTGCAGAAAATATAAGCACATTTAAAAATTTTCTATTACTGAGGTATGATTATAAAAAAAGTAATAAACATAGTAAAAATGAATATAAACTAAACTAGAAGAAAGAAAAATAAAAGTTTAGAAGGTGCAGAATAAAGAAAAGGAAAGGAAAAAAGGCAACAAAGACAATAATGAAGAAGTGTTTCCAACCTTCATCGCACCAAGCATAAGCTAGTATGTTAACTTTTCACCCTCTCTTAAAATTACAAATAAAAAAAAATCTTCTCCCCATACCTAACTTTTGAAAGTAAACCCAATCTAGAAATCATCATCTTTTCAATCCTAATTCAGCAAAGAGTCCACTAGGGACTTTTGCCAGAAATATCGAATAAATAGCTTATCCCTGGTCAAATAGCCCAACTTTGTATTCTTTCTTTTTTCCTTGACTTTTAAATCATTCCTATGGCATTTCAGGATTTGATGTTTCATAACTTTGGATTTAAAAGGAGTCTTCAAAGGTTTAACCAGCCTACTTTGTAAATCTCATAAAGAGGCATTTTCCAGGATTTCTTATTACAGCTGTTTTCATGCCCAGATTTTTTTGATTTGCCTTTGATACTCCTGTTTTGGTAATCTTGATTTTATTGCCTTCCGTGCCTTGCCCTGACTCTATAATGTCTGTGACAGGTAAAAGGTTTTTTTTTTTAGTTTTTCTCGATATTTTCTAAAAGTATATCCACTTAAGTCTGTATCCTTACTGAAATATTAGTTATTAGTTATTAGTTATAGTTGTTAATATTTCAGTCCATATTGCAAAAACTTTCTTAAAGATAAGATAAAATTATAACTGGCTTAGCCATTTTAACTCTTTTCTGCTTGGTCCTTTAGTTCCCTCTAGTGTCCATTTGCAGGCTACATCAAGCCTCAATTCCTAATATAGGTTTAGTTCCATTTCAGTTACCTTCCATAAGTATATTGAATAAATTATATATTTATTTTTCAAATCTTACAGCAAAAATAACCAATATTCCAAATCTCTCTGGTTTACCACTCAATCTAAAACTTTATTAAATAAACATCTTCTTTTTTTTGCTTTTTGTCATTATTTTTGGTTTTTTGTGTATTATTTTAAATTCTTAAGTCTGCTTAAAATTTCTTAAATCCAAAGAAGAAAATAAAACTTACCAGGTGTCATAAATTAAGCTCCCTGTTTTGAAGATCTCTAATGTCCATAAAATGGTTAAATTGAACATTTCCAAATGTAAATAGAAAGTTCTGCTGACCAAAGGCTCCACCGCTGAAGACAGCAAAGATGTTGTCTCCCTCAGCTCCTGGTGCTCAAACCTGTGGGAGATTTGTATTTTATGGTTTCCTGGAAGGAAATTGCCATTCAGAGCATTCAGGGTGATCTCTTTATCTCTTCTTCAGAGAGATTTGAAGGCCTCATCTACTCGTCCATTTTTAGTTTTTCACAGTAGTTGTCATCTCTGCTCATTCACACAGGTGTCTTCAGTCAGCCATGGTTCATACCAGAAGCCACAACAAACAGTATTGTGTATTTTTTAAAATTGAGTTTTCATTCACTTGCTATGTTTGCCCTACTGTTCACAGGTTTTTGTTTTGAATATTGTCGTAGAAACATTTGAAACCATACTCATCACATTTACTGAAACAGAAGCAAACCAATTATTGGTATCTTCAACCCT